TATCAGTGACCTGTAAACAGAACAGACCATACCTTCTATTGACGAAACCTGGACTCTGCTACCGAGCACAAATACAACCATAACATTACAGACCATCTCTGAGCAAACTACGTCATAACGTGAACAAAGCCATCCTGTTCTGACCTCTCTCCCAGAGGCAGGTGGTTAAAGAGTCACCTAGTCACATATTATTATTACACTGAGACACCAGGCTCAACGTGGGCAGGCCAGGTGAGGACATCTGCCCTGAGCTCACTGCCTTTGAGGGTACAGGTTAGGGGCTAGGGGGTAGGTAATAGGTGCTTGTGGTTAGGTGTTAGGGGGAAGAGTTACACATACCTTCCCAGGTGGCCTTGTGCAGACCCTGGCAGACAATATAGCAGTAGAGAAAGACAGCCAGGGAGAACTGGGAGATGGAGTTGGCTGCTGCAGAACCCCTGAGACAGACAGAGACAGAGAGATATATATTCAGATAGTACTGGGAGATGGAGTTAGTTATTATAGAACCACTGAGACAGACAGAGACATAGAGATATACAGTAAGGGAAAAAAGTATTTGATCCCCTGCTGATTTTGTACGTTTGCCCACTGACATGATCAGTCTATAATTTTAATGGTAGGTTTATTTGAACAGTGAGAGACAGAATAACAACAAAAAAATCCAGAAAAACGCATGTCAAAAATGGTATAAATTGATTTGCATTTTAATGAGGGAAATAAGTATTTGAACCCCTCTCAATCAGAAAGACTTCTGGCTCCCAGGTGTCTTTTATACAGGTAACGAGCTGAGATTAGGAGCACACTCTTAAAGGGAGTGCTCCTAATCTCAGCTTGTTACCTGTATAAAAGACACCTGTCCACAGAAGCAATCAATCAGATTCCAAACTCTCCACCATGGCCAAGACCAAAGAGCTCTCCAAGGATGTCAGGGACAATTTGTAGAACTACACAAGGCTGGAATGGGCTACAAGACCATCGCCAAGCAGCTTGGTGAGAAGGTGACAACAGTTGGTGCGATTATTCGCAAATGGAAGAAACACAAAAGACCTGTCAATCTCCCTCGGCCTCTCCATGCAAGATCTCACCTCATGGAGTTGCAATGATCATGAGAACGGTGAGGAATCAGCCCAGAACTACACGGGAGGATCTTGTCAATGATCTCAAGGCAGCTGGGAACATAGTCACCAAGAAGACAATTGGTAACACACTACGCCGTGAAGGACTGAAATCCTGCAGCGCCCGCAAGGTCCCCCTGCTCAAGAAAGCACATATACAGGCCCGTCTGAAGTTTGCCAATGAACATCTGAATGATTCAGAGGAGAACTGGGTGAAAGTGTTGTGGTCAGATGAGACCAAAATCGAGCTCTTTGGCATCAACTCAACTCGCCGTGTTTGGAGGAGGAGGAATGCTGCCTATGACCCCAAGAACACCATCCCTACCGTCAAACATGGAGGTAGAAACATTATGCTTTGGGGGTGTTTTTCTGCTAAGGGGACAGGACAACTTCACTGCATCAAAGGGACGATGGACGGGGCCATGTACCGTCAAATCTTGAGTGAGAACCTCCTTCCCTCAGCCAGGGCATTGAAAATGGGTTGTGGATGGGTATTCCAGCATGACAATGACCCAAAACACACGGCCAAGGCAACAAAGGAGTGGCTCAAGACGAAGCACATTAAGGTCCTGGAGTGGCCTAGCCAGTCTCCAGACCTTAATCCCATAGAAAATCTGTGGAGGGAGCTGAACGTTCGAGTTGCCAAACATCAGGCTCGAAACCTTAATGACTTGGAGAAGATCTGCAAAGAGGAGTGGGACAAAATCCCTCCTGAGATGTGTGCAAACCTGGTGGCCAACTACAAGAAACGTCTGACCTCTGTGATTGCCAACAAGGGTTTTGCCACCAAGTACTAAGTCATGTTTTGCAGAGGGGTCAAATACTTATTTCCCTCATTAAAATGCAAATCAATTTATAACATTTTTTACATGCGTTTTTCTGGATTTTTGTTGTTGTTATTCTGTCTCTCACTGTTCAAATAAACCTACCATTAAAATTATAGACTGATCATGTCTTTGTCAGTTGACAAATTTACAAAATCAGCAGGGGATCAAATACTTTTTTCCCTCATTGTATATAGTCAGGTAGTACTGGGAGATGGAGTTAGTTATTATAGAACCCCTGAGACAGACAGAGACAGAGGAGAGAGAGAACATGGTGGTTATCACACCAACTCTCCTAATACTGGTTATCACACCAACTCTCCTAATACTGGTTATCACACCAGCTCTCCTAATACTGGTTATCACCCCAACTCTCCTAATACTGGTTATCACCCCAACTCTCCTAATACTGGTTATCACACCAACTCTCCTAATACTGGTTATCACACCAACTCTCCTAATACTGGTTATCACACCAACTCTCCTCATACTGGTTATCACATCAACTCTCCTCATACTGGTTATCACACCAACTCTCCTAATACTGGTTATCACACCAGCTCTCCTAATACTGGTTATCACCCCAACTCTCCTAATACTGGTTATCACCCCAACTCTCCTAATACTGGTTATCACACCAACTCTCCTAATACTGGTTATCACACCAACTCTCCTAATACTGGTTATCACACCAACTCTCCTCATACTGGTTATCACACCAACTCTCCTAATACTGGTTATCACACCAACTCTCCTAATACTGGTTATCACCCCAACTCTCCTAATACTGGTTATCACACCAACTCTCCTAATACTGGTTATCACACCAGCTCTCCTAATACTGGTTATCACCCCAACTCTCCTAATACTGGTTATCACACCAACTCTCCTAATACTGGTTATCACACCAGCTCTCCTAATACTGGTTATCACACCAGCTCTCCTAATACTGGTTATCACACCAGCTCTCCTAATACTGGTTATCACACCAGCTCTCCTAATACTGGTATCAAACTAATCAAGCTCCTCACTCTGGGACTCTGCTTGCTCAGTCAAAAGAAAACGTCATGCTTGCTGCCATCTGTCTGACTGGTTTTATAGTTATTTTTCAAAAGAAATCAGCCAAGACCTCAGAAAAAAAATGGTAGACCTCCACAATTCTGGTTTATCCTTGGGAGCAATTTCCAAACGCCTGAAGGTACCACGTTCATCTGTACAAACAATAGTACGCAAGTATAAACACCATGGGACCACGTAGCCGTCATATCGCTCAGGAAGGAGACGCGTTCTGTCTCCTAGAGATGAACGTACTTTGGTGCAAAAAGTGCAAATCAATCCCAGAACAACAGCAAAGGACCTTGTGAAGATGCTGGAGGAAACAGGTGCAAAAGTATCTATATCCACAGTAAAACGAGTCCTATATCGACATAATCTGAAAGGCCACTCAGCAAAGAAGAAGCCACTGCTCCAAAACCGCCATAAAAAAGCCAGACTACGGTTTGCAACTGCACATGGGGACAAAGATCATACTTTTTGGAGAAATGTCCTCTGGTCTGATGAAACAAAAATAGAACTGTTTGGCCATAATGACCATCGTTATGTTTGGAGGAAAAAGGGGGGGCTTGCAAGCCGAAGAACACCATCCCAACCGTGAAGCACGGGGATGGCAGCATCATGCTGTGGGGGTGTTTTGCTGCAGGAGGGACTGGTACACTTCACAAAATAGATGACATCATGAGGAAGGAAAATTACGTGGATATATTGAAGCAACATCTCAAGACATCAGTCAGGAAGTTAAAGCTTGGTCGCAAATGGGTCTTCCAAATGGACAATGACCCCAAGCATACTTCCAAAGTTGTGGCAAAATGGCTTAAGGACAACAATGTCAAGGTATTGGAGTGGCCATCACAAAGCCCTGACCTCAATCCTATAGAAAATGTGTGGGCAGAACTGAAAAAGCGTGTGCGAGCAAGGAGGCCTACAAACCTGACTCAGTTACACCAGCTCTGTCAGGAGGAATGGGCCAAAATTCACCCTACTTATTGTGGGAAGCTTGTGGAAGGCTAACCGAAACGTTTGACCCAAGTTAAACAATTTAAAGGCAATGCTACCAAATACTAATTGAGTGTATGTAAACGTCTGACCCACTGGGAATGTGATGAAAGAAATACAAGCTGAAATAAATCATTCTCTCTACTATTATTCTGACATTTCACATTCTTAGAATTAAGTGGTGATCCTAACTGACCTAAGACAGGGAGTTTGGATAAGGTGTGTGTAAACTTTCCGACTTCAACTGTATATAGTACAGTATGTATGAGTTGGAGACAGTAAAAGTATATAAATATGAAATTTTGTATATAGTATAGAAAGGGTAAATTTTAAAAAAACCCTTGGTTATAATAGGGAAACTAACCCCCGGGGGGGGGGGGGGCCCAGGTCCAGAAATAGAGGAAATGTAGTTGTGAGAGCGTTGAACTTTCCCCCCCATCCTACTTTCACGGAGGAAGATATCCCCTGCAGGAAAAGACACAACACCCCCCTTTCCCCTGTGGGCCCAGAATCCCCCCAAAAAAAAAAAAAATTTTTCCTACCAAATGCCATTTCGATAAACCCCTGCGGACAAAAAAAAAATTCCCCTACCCAAAAGGGAGGCCAATGTTTCCCCCTGAAAGGAAAAGACCCCCACCATTCCTTTTATCTCACGTAGGCCAGTGAAAAACCCTGAAGGAAAAAAAAAAACTTTTAAATACAAACTGTGGGGTTCAGAATTCCCTGAAAAAAGAAAAAAAAAAAAATTTTAAAAAATGGGGTTTTCATGATAACTGCGGGGAAAAGCCCAAAAACAAAAAATATTAACTGTGGGTTAAGGAAAAACCCTGAAGGAAAAAACCCCAACATTCCCTATCTAACTGTAGCCAAAAATTGAAAACCCTGCGGGAACAAGACACAACATTACCTATCTAACTGTAGGTTCAAAATAAATTCCCTGCGGGGAAAAGGGACCAACTTACCTTTTAAAAAGTGGGCCCAAAATGATCCCCTGGGGACAAGACAAAAC